GGGGGTCTGAGCGGCTCCCACAGAGAAATAATCTTTGAAGGCAGGATGGTAATCTGGATGAACTGACTGCGCATAATCCCAGCTAAAATCCTGGCCAGGAGCAATACTGTGCATAAGACCCACCCATCATTTTAAAGCTCTCCTCATTGGCTGCCACTTAATGTCAACATTTCTGGAAAAGGTCCTACGTTAACGCGTAAGGATGGGGAAAAGAGCAGATCGTCTCCGCTAAATGAGCCATGCTAGGAGTGACCTACAGAACGACGTTGTCACTACCCAATCCGTCCGGGAAGCACGATTCGTCCTGCGCATGCGCAAACAGATATACATATGGGTGTAATTATGGTACTAAAATTACGAAAGAATGCTATTACACATCTTTATAAAACGTTTTCCGACTTTTGAGACAATGTTGATGCTTTTTAAATTAAATTTTTTCTTTCTTTAGGTCACGCACTATGTACCATAATGTTAACATGAAAGGAAAACATAAAACTCAAAAAGACTAGATTGATGGTTAGATCCAAAGCTGATAAAGTTAGCTCCTGGAAATAGCGTAGCATCCCATTTCCTGTACAGATCAGGAACAGAGGGATAAAACAGAAATGCTTTTATTTTCTCAGGAAATACATTATTAACCTTTAACACATTATATTTTAGTATGGTTACTATTTTTAGGGAGGGAAAAACGTCATTTAGGTCTTTTTAACAAAATAAAATTGAGGGCGACCCGGATGGATATCTGGATGTGCAAATGAGCTGATGGCGCTTCCAGGACGGATCGGGCCCCCTGACGGATTGTGCCTCTGGGACGGATCGTGTCTCTGGGACGGATCGTGCAGCCGCGACGGATCGTGTCTCCGGGACGGATCGTGCCTCTGGGACGGATCGGGCCTCTGGGACGGATCGGGCCTCTGGGACGGATCGGGCCTCTGGGACGGATCGGGCCTCTGGGACGGATCGTGCCTCTGGGACGGATTGTGCCTCTGGGACGGATTGTGCCTCTGGGACGGATCGGGCCTCTGGGACGGATTGTGCCTCTGGGACGAATCGTGCCTCTGGGAAGGATCGTGTCTCCGGGACAGGTTGGCCCTCCAGGACAGATTGGGTAGTGACAGACGTGTTTGACTGAGACACTACGTTTGAAGCGATAGCGACCTAACAAGGAGTAAAACCATCAGAACCAACATGGTGAACAGACATTTTGGTGGATTTTAGATTTCCACTAGAAATTGATTTATAGCTTTACAAGGTTTCACGGTTAACCCTCACAAAAACAATTTGATACATTTCAAAATTGTACTAAAGAAAATTTTAATAAAAAAAAAAAAAGCTGGTATTGACTGATAAATATGTATAAAGGACCACAGAGAACAGGACGGGCGGTTAGGGTTAGAGAAGAATGGCTCCACTCTGTAGACCATATAAAGACAGAATATCTTAATTATCTGGCCCAAAGAAAGACTTATGAGACAGAAACACCTCAACCAGCAGCAGCAGCAAGTGCCCTGCTCCCCTTCCCGCTGCGCACCCTTCACACCCGCGACTCAGAGCTCCAACAGCCTGGGAATAAACTGTCCTGACTGCACTTTCACAACATCATCAACATTCTTCACTTTGTGGGAGCTCAGAGAGGATAGGAGGCTAGCAGAGTGGTGGATTAGGAGAGAGAGGGAGGGAGAAGACGGAAAGAAGAAGCATGGAGGGGGGGGGGATCAAGTGTGAGTTTATGTAACCAAGGTCAGCCAAAGGAAAAACACCCAAAAACAGCGAGACCACAAGGCAGGAGGACTGGTGCTAGGAGGGCGAGTCCGAAAACAATCAGCGACACGTCACAGCGGAGGGGGGGGGCAGCACGGCCTAAGCTTCTGGTTTGGCACCAGAGGAGCATTATGGGATGGCTGCAGCCTCTTTAAATAGCTGTAAACTGGTGGGGTGGGGGACCTGAAAACCAAAACTCTTTCTGACTACAGATGAAGTTCATTCTAACAGGATGGCGTCTCTTCCTGCTAAATGTTCCACTTTAAACTCAGAATCAAAGGATTTTAGCAGCAACCTCAATTATTAACACAATAGCAGGGCTGGCCTCTGATTGGCCGAGGTAATAAGGGAACATTTCGCAGGATTTGTAATTTAAAAATGTTTAAGTCTGCCCTCGATTATCCTGAATATAGATCCATTTAAATCCAAATGATCGTCTCTGCTGTCTGATTTATTCTGTCGTTAGTGAAATAGTTTTTAATGAACATTTAAGGAAATTAAAAGACGAGTTTTAAATATGCTGGGGGTTTACTCCAGTATCTAATCATTTTTGTCATTTGAGCGTTGAAGAAACAGAATAAAGTATAAAGTTATGACAGATCTTATTGAAAAGAATAAATATAAAAGGCCTTTATTTTTCACTCATTCACGTTATTATGTTTCATGTATAGAAATAAAAAATCTAATAGTTTCCATATTCAGTTTTCTGTTTTGTACCACAGGAGCTCTGAACCCCACAGATGAATGAATGAATGAATGAATGAATGAATGAATGAATGAATGAATGAATGAATGCAGGTTTCCTACCAGAAGCTCACTGCCTTTCTCCTCCCAGTCCAGATGGATCCATGGCTCCCATTAGCATCTGTCAAAACCTGCAAGAAGGCACAGAGTTGGATTAGAAAATGAGAAGGCAGCAGGTACAAGACCCGTCTCCAGACACCCGTCTCCAGAGGCCCGTCTCCAGAGACCCGTCTCCAGAGGCCCGTCTCCAGAGGCCCGTCCGACACACCATGCAGCACTAACAGCACATCAGCTCAGACTCGTGAAGCCAAACTTTTTCATACATGTGAAATAAGAAATGAAACGAGTTTGAACTTTCTGTGATGAAAGTAAAGGATTCATTGCAATGGAGCAGAAGCTTCTGGTAGAGGACTGAACAGACCAAGACTTCCTTCCGTCTAGGTCTCCCTCCTGCTGGGAGACGGACTGAGCAGAGCTTATCTGGGCTGGATGTGATTGAGTTTGTTTGTTTATCCGGAGGTTATCCTACCAATCAGATTAGGATACTAAGAAAGAGCTACAGTTTCCATGAAGCACCAACTTTAGAAATTATTTCACACAGTTCTGCTGCCAGAGGGGAAACAGTCGACCAAAGAACTCAGAGAGA